GCTTTGGCTCTCCATATTCTTTGAATCTTTGCTGTTAGGCAAGCCAATCTTGTTGCCCCCACATTATATATATTTGGTCAAATTAGTGTGACATGGTTGATTCCATGAGGAATCTCAATATATAATGAATCATCATGCACTTATATCGAATGTCCAAAAGACAATACGTGGTTCATGAGAAGAGATTGTGACTTAGTGAACATAATTAGATAACGACAATCTTCAATAATAGTGTTAGGCAGGTTTGTGCTTAGGAGGCGAGCAATCATAACTCAGAGAAGCCCCGTCACATGTCATGATCGCCTCTTTATAAGGCTGTTCGTGCATTCCTTTAGGTTGCTCTAGTGGGGTCACTTTTTTACTTCTATTGCATAAATTAGTATTAATTTACTTATAAAAAACATTTAAATTTAGAAGTGGATAATAAACGTGCTAATTTCTTCTATGATTGAAAATTTAGAATTCATGTCACCTTTTTTTTTCCATTTAGACACCGATATATGCAGTTCTAATGGGCCTATTAATTTGGTTTTGTGTTTTTATCTCTGCATTCTGAGGAAGAATAACACCTACTTTTTAGTATTGTCACATTACGTCAAGAGTTGTATAGGATTGAAGTGTGGACAATTTTATAGTTGTCCACCGCACCAAGAATTTTTTAGGATTTGAAACATGGACATTAAATTTTTTTAAGAGCCTTTTTTAGGGTTTGAAAGATGAAATTACACTTTTTTATTGGAAAAATACGGTGGTAGGAATTGAACTCAAGACCCCTCAAATCATAGAAGTTTTGATATTATATAAAAAAAATAATTCAATCCAAAAAATTAAATTATGATATGGAATGATAATATAAAGCCCATATTTAAAGCTTGAAACCATGAAAAAAGTATCTTCAAGATAATATTCCAAGTCAACAAAAGTTGTCCTGCATCTTTGCCAAGTAACTTTTGCAATCCCTCTACAAAGCTTATCTCAGGCCACTTACACATGATTACCAAATGTTGCAATCCCTCTACAAAGCTTATCTCATGCCACTTACACATGATTATCAATTGAAAAATGTTGCTGCCTCATCACTTGCAAGCAACTTGCAGCGATATCTCCCAAAACAGATCATCTTTCACTATAAATACAAGTGTGTTAAATATAAAGTATTCATTTCTTTCTACGTGAATAAACCTACTTGCACAAAATCTGACTTAAATGTTAGAGTGTCTTTAGTGGCGAAGCCAGCCTCCCAACTTAGTTAGGGCCAAGGAGAATTTAACTGGTGTCAAACATTAAAATGTGGAAGATTATTTAGTCATGTTTAAAATGTGACTAATTTTCAAAAATAAGCTAGGGTCAAGGTACCCCCTCCACCCGTGGCTTCGTTACTGAGTGTCTTGCAGGTACACTCTCCCTACCTCCCAAATGTTTCAGTAAAGATTCATGGGTTAAAGTTGTATCAGATCACTTGTAGAGGTAAATAATCATGTTCAGCCGAAATAAAAATAATTTTGATCAAATTATGATGTGAATGACATATTAGAAATTTTATATATTATATTTAACAACATATGCAATTCTCACAGAGTTCAATTAAACCTGCGTCTCTTTGAAACAAAGGAAGATCTAAATTTGATCATACTCTAAAAAGGAAGAACTAATTTTACATTCGAACATACCAAAATTGGGTTCAAATCAACCCGCGGACGTCTTCATGCACTAAACTTCTAATGGTCAATTAATCGACATGTGAATATCCTTGTTCTTGGCGTGCGGGGAAAGATTCAATTGAAAATATCCCCAAAAATATAATTTAAAATTTTCCAATGTATCCTCTCATGTTAAAAATTCACATGATATAGTCATGTGAAATTTTTGTATTTATTTATTTCTTTACATACATTAAATAAGTGGGGTCCAATTATAATTTATCAACATTAATGAAGAAATAAATAGACACCAAATTTTACATGACCCTCGTATGTAAAATTTTAACATCAGATGATCCATTGTCAAATCTTGAGATTCTCAAACATGCGAATAAACACTCCATTGAATGATTCGGCTTATAATGTGGTAAGTAGGGGTATTAAAAGAGCCAGGGACTTTGGTCCGGCTCGATAGGCCTGGCTTGGTCTGTGTGTTATGGTTGTTGGATCCAAACTTAGACTTGTATATTATGCTGCTTGGATATACATTGAATTTATGAATTTTTATGGAATTATTAGTGTTGCTGATCATATATTCTGTTTGGATAAATTTTTGTTGTCTTATTTTTTTTAACAGGCTAAGCCAGACTTTTATATTTTGTAATTAAGTCAGGTCACAAGCCGATAATTATATTCATAACAGGTTACAGGCTAGGCCAGTTTCATATATTTAAACACAGACTTAGCCTTTCAAGACCAAAGACTGGCTCGACTCGGCCCGTTAACACCCCTAGTGGTAAGTCAATGATTTCATCCATATGCATGATGTTAGATAATAATATAAACCACTAAAAAAGCTCTGATCCATCACCTTAAGATTTTTAGTTGAATTGGTTCTTTACATGGTATAAGAGCTTCAATAACTATAAGGTTATGAGTTTCAATCCTCATCGCCCCTATTTTCAAGTAGAATTAAATAAGCACAAGATAAAACAAAAACCAAAATTGAGCTTGTGCAATATCCACGCTTCAAGCCCGAAGCCCTCTTGCGCGAGGAGATGTGTTAGAAAATAATATAAACCATCAAAAAGGCTCTCACTCATCACCTTAAGATTTTGGGTTTTTGGTTCTTTACACATTACATTACAGTACTCGACTCTCTTTTCATTTCAAGTTTGATAGTAAGGGAGCTTGATGAAATTGGTAATTTGAAAGCTTGAATTGAAAAAATTTCGAACAAACACAATTATTCAATTCATAGTATGGTTCAATTGAGTTTTTTTAAAAGCTTAATGTTGTCCTCAGCAATTAACTAGAATAAAACTATGGGAAAATAGAGACAGCTAATCATGCTTAATGAATAACAGACAGGAAACTAATCAATCGGAATACATTAGAGTATTCAGGTTTAAAAGCAATGACACATCAAATTCAAGCAAACATTCATAATTCACTAGTCGTAAAATCTTAACATGAGTTTTCAAAATAGAGAGTAGTATGATTCAAATCCACAACACCCTCTCATTGGGATTTTCTTTTATTCACTCACACTCAAGTGTTTGAGGGTATGTGTCTCACTCTTACTTCACTGAATTAACACTACCATAGGCTTGTTTATATTCTCACTCTCCACAGTCTAACCGGTATACAAAGTCAATCAAGAGGTCTTTGTTAAGGTTATAATGTGGCTTAGGTAACAGAGAAGGAATTATCTGGGTAAGTGGCTTACTGATCAAAAGTCAAACTCAAAGAGGAACCAACATAACTGTTCAACACATAACAAACATAATTTTCTTATTTTCTTTCTCCTCTTTTCTTCTTTCACTTACTCATAAGAGTTCTTTTCTTTCTTTCCCTTTTTCTCTTTCTTTTTCTTTTTCATTTCTTTACATAAGCACATTTCAACCTTTTTCTTTTCATTTTTTTTCCACCACTTTTTGGCTTTTTCCTCTTTTCACCTTTTTTTCCATACACTAGAATTTGATTATTATTTTTTTCAATTATACCTAGTTCCTCATTTAAATTTGAAAATTAATCAGTTCAGGTGAGGATTTGTATGGAATGACTATTCATAATATATTGTCAATGAACAAACAGGCCTAGGCTCAAGGGGTTTAATCTAAGGATAAACATCCAGGGTGGCTATTTGGCTATCTAGCTTTTAGAAAGAACTTCCTCCATCATTTCAACAATTATATACCACAGACCATCTCAAGGAGAAACAAAACAAGTTCTAGAGTAATTCAAACAGTAAAATTTACACCACAAAAAAAATATATATATGTTTAGGCTCAAAAGCTCACGGCTAAGGGTGTGAGACTTATTTTTTACTCTTTATCTGATCACTTTAATTATTTTTCTCTTATTCCAGTGAATTATTAAGCATGCTTGACTGACGCTCATTTATGTATGAAAATAAATTACATCATCATACTCCTAATCTCAAAAATAAACAATATCCTGTAATTATTCATTTATTCATATATATCAAGCACAATGGAAATTTAAAAAAAATCACCAAAATTTAGTGATTGAGGATGGATGGGGATTTAAAACTAAAAATTATTCAGAAAATTCTAAAAAATTAAAATTAAATTTAAAAACGGATTCTAAAAAAAAAATTAAAAATAAAATTAAAATTAAAGTAAAATAATATTAAAAAGAAAATTGAGAAAGCTCCCTGTTTAGTTGGATATTCTCTGTAAAATCATAAATTCCTTCCGATCATGAGGATTTTGTGGTCTGATGGATCGCGTGGTACCCATTCTCAGATTTAAATCTTGTTGTCCTCAGCAATTAATTTAAATCTAAAAAGAATCCTTAGCGAGAAATCAGTAAATAATCGTGCTCTGAAACAGATCACAAATCATGAAAATACTGGTTAGAATGTCAAAATATCCACACAAAAAATGTCAGAATCAGTCTCAATATACACCACATATCATCATGAAAACAAAATCAAAAGAAAAAAATAATAATAATAAAGAAAAAATAAAAAATAAAAAAATCTAATCACTGAGACAATGGTCAATCCCCATCAATGTCAGTAGTGGGTGTAGTATCATCTCTATCAGCATCCTGTGGTTTCTACTCTTATGTCTACCTATAAATTCCATCTCAAGAATATAATCATCAGTCTCAGTGCCTAAATTTTTGTATTTTTATTTGACTTACAATAAAAACAAATAAAATAACTAAAAGTAACATAATGAAAACTATAAATTGTTGGGTTGCCTCCCATAAGCGCTTGTTTTACGTCACGAGCCTGACGTACCTGACTTGCCATCATGGCGGCTCAAAGCATTGGTTTAGTGATGACCAAGCCCTCTCATTAAGACATTGTGTCCCTCTATAATATTCCTATGCATATAGATGAGATAAAGTATCCTCAGAAACTCTAAACTTGGCTTTTATGTGTTTTCCCTTGCTCCTAGGCTTCTCCATTTTAACCTTTGGCTTACCTTCTTGAGGAGAATTCTCTTTTTGCTCTTCTTCTCCTTTCTTTTCACTAATGTAGTAGACTTGATCTTCCAGTTGAGCTACTGGTGGGAAAATTTCTTTGTCAAAGAACTTGAATATGGCCTGCTCTCCATCTACCCTCAAAATCAACTCGCCCTTAGGTACATCAATCAATGCTCCTGAAGTTGCCAAGAAGGGTCTTCCAAAGATCATAGGAACAGTAGCATTTTCCTCTATATCAAGGATGACAAAATCAACAGGAATGATGAATTTGTCAACCTTTACCAGTATGTCCTCTATGATGCCATAAGCTTGTTTTGTAGAGCGGTCAGCTAGTTGCACTATTGTCTTGGTTGGCTTTACTTCAGTGATCCATAGTTTCTTCATCATAGATAGTGGCATCACGTTGATGCTGGCACCGAGATCACATAGAACGTTACCTACTTCAACCTTGCCTATGGTGCATGAAATGTTGAAGCTCCCTAGATCCTTGACTTTGGTGGGTAACTTCTTTTGGATGATAGCATTATATTCCTCCGTCAGATTCACTGTCTCACATTCCCGCAACTTACGCTTCCTTGATATTAGATCCTTCATGAACCTTGCATAGTTGGGCATGTTCTCTAAAGCTTCAGCAAAAGGAATATTGATTTGCAGCTTCTTGAAAATATCAAGGAATGCAGTACTGCTGCTTTTGAATTTCTTGTCTGAGCCTCTGTGGATATGGAATTTTCGTATAAGGTGAGAGATCCAAAGGCTTGTCTTGCCTTTCTAAAGCTTTCTTCTTTTCCCACTTAAATAGTTTCCTTTCAACTTTTTCAGGATTGCTCTTGTCAACTTCAATAGTATCATTTGCCTTTTCTTTATTCTTTTCTTCAACTGATGCCTCCACATCTCTCTCATTCTCTTCAGGTTGCTTCTCTGTAGGCTGAATCATTGTCCCACTTCTTGTGGTAATTGCATTGCAATGCTCTCTAGGATTAATGACAGCGTCTCCCGGGAAGGTACCCTTGGCTCTCTCAGCAAATTGCCTTGACAACTGGCCAATCTGAGCTTCCAGATTTCTTAAGGAAGCTTCTTGATTCCGGAGTGCTGATCTAGTTTCTTGCATAAAGGCAGGTGTGTCATCTCTGAAAGTATTTGCACCTTGTATGTAATCAGAAGTGATCTTGGATAGCTGTGCAAAAGCTTTCTCCCACTCAGAAGTGTTACTTTTTTGTGGGTGATGTGGTTGCACTAGAAGGGGAGGGTTCAGTTGATGATTAGACTTGTAATTAAATCCTGGATGCTGATTCTGATTCTTCCACACTTGATTGTAGTTATTCCCATACTAGTTCCTCCCAAGATTACTCTGGATCTTTTGATCGTACCACAGTCCGTTGACTTCAACAGTTTCAGGTGCTCTCATTAAATCACATTCTTCTGTAGCATGAGCACTTGCACAAATTCCACAACTAACTGGAGGAGTCTTGACAGAAGAGACTTGGAAGTTTGTGAGCTGCTTTGTGAGAGCATCTAGTTGTTGTTGTTGTCTCTTGTTAATTTGTAATATTTGCTCGTTCTGTGCCAACAGTGCATCATAACTGTCGAGCTTCATGACCCCCGCTCTCCTCTGTGATATTGGAGAATTATCAAACTCCTGAGAGGCTAGAGATTTCAGTAATTCCAAAGCTTCCTCTGGAGTTTTTGTTTTCAAGGATCCTCTTGATGCAGTATTCACCAAGGTTCTTGTGTTAGGCGTCATCCCTTGGAAGAAAATTCTCCCTTTCTCCCAGGCTTCAAAACCATGTTGTGGACATTTTCTGAGCAATCCTTTGAACCTTTCCAATGATTCATATAAAGATTCACTTTCTTTTTATTCAAAAGAAGTGATATCCGCCTTGAGCTTTGCCATCTTTGAAGATGAGAAAAATCGAGCTAAAAATTTGGTTGCCAAGTCATCCCAGATGGTGATGCTTCCTTGAGGCAGTGATTGCAACAAACCTCTTGCTTCTTCCTTCAGTGAGCATGGGAAGAGCTTGAGTAGGATAGCATCACGAGAGACTCCATTCATCTTTAAGGTGTCACAATAAAGAAGAAAATTCTCGAGATGAATGTAAGGGTCTTCCGTCCTTGCTCCAGCAAACTGATCTTTTGAATCAGTTGCAATAATGCGGGCTTGAGCTCGAAATTATTAGCATCCACGTTTGGCCTAACAATACTTGCCGTCTGCGGAACTCGGGTAAGAGTCGTGTAATCTCCCAACGTCCTCTGAATAGGTGGTAGTTGATCGTTATCCACCATGGCTTCTTCTTTCGGTTCTGTCGAGCTTGAAGCTTCTTTTTCTTTCTGCCTCCTTTCTTTAGCGATCTTTCTGTTTCTTTTTGCTGTTTTCTCTATCTTCGGGTCGAATTGCAAGAAATCAGTGTCAACGGTACCTCATATAAACCAGAAAATAGATTACTAAAAGAGTAAATACCTTTTTTGATCCCTAACAAAGAACACGGTCCCCACTTTAGTCCCTTACAAAAATAAATTAGTCAGTTAGTCCCTAACAAATTCAAGGTGGACCCATTTTAATCCTTTTGAGGACTAATATGGGTCTTTTTTGAATTTGTGAGGGACCATGATTTCAACTAAATGGGTCCACTTTTAATTTTTAGGGACTAACTGACTAATTTATTTTTGTAAGGGACTAAAGTGGGGATCGTGTTTTTTGTTAGGGACTAAAAAGGGTATTTACTCTTAATAAAATAAAAACTGAAATTAAATAGCAGAAAATAAGGTCCAATTTAAAGAATCTATAGCTACTATTAATGCTGAAATAATAATCCCCGGCAACGGCGCCAAAAAATTGTTGGGACTCATAGCAAGTGCACCGGTCGTACAAGTAATATAATGATTAAGTAAGAGATCGTTCCCACGGTGATTATAGATCAAGCACTAATTCACTATTGCAACTTAAGTTGGACAATCAAAATTGGATTTGTAACAGGATTTGAATTGAAATTTAAAATATTAAAACTAATTAATCGCAAGAATTTAAAGATTTGATTTAATTCATGTAAATAAAACGTAGCTAGAGTTTCGATTTCCTTTAACCTCTCTATTACGTCTGAATTTCTTCTTTAAATTAATTGTCCTTAATATCAATCTAATCGATTCTTTCTTATGTAATTAGGGTTCAATCCCTTGTTACCCTAAATCTTTACAATCTTGCAAGAACCCTAGTTGTCCGGTTATTCCCCAAGAAAGTAAGCATTAAATTCAAGAATCTCAAGATTACGCAAACCCTATGTCTATCCCTAGAATCATAAAGCTTACGATGAAATTATCAGATACAGATCATGCACCAACATTCTTATTGTCATGCAATTACCTAAGATCAATATATAAGATTCAAGCTCATATACAACATTAAGAACAGATAATTTCATTCATGATAAAAAGAAAAATTAACATAAAGAATTGTTCAAACCATAATAAAGAAATTAAATTCTATCTAACCCTAACTACTAAAAAGACTTAGCCAGACATAGCAAGATCAAGAACGAAAGAAAATATAAAAGCTTCCCCAAACTTCATAGTTGATTGGTGAATCTTCAATATCTTCAGTGCAAGCTTGATTTTGGTTTGTCTCTGCCGCTCACGAACATGAACTGTGGATTTCTCCTCGTTCCTGATGCCTCCAAGTACCAAGAACTCTCTTTGAATTTCAAAAACTTATAAATTTTGCCCCAAAATGTGTTTTTATTCATAAAGAATCCTTGCCCTAAGTAAATACATCGAATGGGTCTAAGTTGGGTTTCTAGGGCGCTTAAGCCTCAGATTGGAGGCTTAAGCCTCCTCTTCAACAACTTGATAATCTTGATTTTCTTCAGATAAGATCTTCAAATCTTCTAGTTTTGATCTCCATCTATCCAATCTTTATATTTGCTTCCATTTATCTTCAAATCCCTTCAAAATAGCAAATATATATTATTTAATTCATAATTCATAAAGTTCATGATTTTGTGTTAATAAACCCTAGATTTCACTTATTTAACTTGATAATTCATGTTTTTAATCTATAAAATAAGATAAACTAAAGGTTTATCACTTAAACATGAACCAGAGTCATTAAGATAGTTCCAAAGTAACTAAAATACAATATTATATATTAAATTACAGTAAATTTATTACGAGTGATTAAATCTCCTAGTCAACTTTCCCTTGAAAGATTGATGGATCTTCACTTAATAGCTTAAACTTTTTGGTTGAATTGATTCTTTTTATAGTATCAGAGTCTCGTATCTCAGGTTCTATCCCCACCCCCCCCCCCCCCACCCCCCCTCCCCCTCCCAACTTTTTCTTGTGGAATTTCTTAGTACACGTAGGTGAACTATGTATTATCTATCCACCCTTCATGCCCAGTGAGCTCTCGTGTGAGGGGACGTGTTAGAGAAGTATATAAATCATTGATGGATCTTCACTTAATAGCTTAAGTTTTTGGGTTAAATTGAAGATATTTAACAAAAAATTGTCAAATTATTTTATTTTAAAAAAATGAAAAATACAAATACAAACTAAAAAAATGGAGTTATACAGCATAGTTTTTATCCTTGTGCTCTTTCTGCAAATCATGTTCCGCCAGTGAAATTGGATTGGCAATTTCAATCAATATGAAGGCAAAGATAATAGCTGACCTATTTGGGGTTGATTTTCTCGAAAAGTAAGTATCTACGGATTCTCTTCTCCATGCAGAAGTGTCAAAATGGACTGGTGTAGCTTCTGAGAGTGACTCCAAATGGGTTAGGCAGCCTTTCACTACATCTTCTTTCTTATAAATTTTGATGACTTACAAACATATTTCATCATGCTTTGAATATTAGATCATTCATGTGTTTAGTAGATTTTTTGAACTATGATGACATAGTAATTTTCCCACCAGTTTAATATTTGAGCTTTTCTAACTCTTTGATTAAAGTGTGTCAAAAGTCTTAAATCTCGAAGGTACACTTAGCTTCAATTAGAAAGTTAAATCAGAATAAAATTTGAATTCTCATTGGAAAGTTCAATTAGTATAGTATGAAAAAGTTGTTACCAGAAGTGCAAATGCTAATGAGTGGACAAAAATAATGGTTAGTTACTGTCTGAAGATTCGAATTATTCTATTAGGGAAAGATTATATTTATAATTTTTTTTATTTACAAACTATATTATGTCTGATCGATCATACTTCAATCAAAAGTGTATGACTGGTCATACTTAATGTAATTTGAAAAAAAAATTATAAACGAATCATTTCCTATTATATTATACATGCGCATTAACAGCTCTTCCTAGCCTGGAACCTTAAAGGCTGAACACTTGGTTGGTATCAGAATTATTGCAAAGGACAACATTATACTAATTCTGATCTTCTGATTAGGGGTGTTACGGGCCGAGACAAGCCGAGCTTTGAGCCTGTGTTTAAATGTGTCAACCTGACCAAATCTGATATCTGTTATAATTATACTTATCGGCCTGTGGCCAGGCTTATTTACAAAAAATAAAAGTGTAATTTAACTTGTTAGAAAAATAAGACAACAAAAATTTATCCAAACAAAATATACAATCAACAACACTAGTAATTTCATAAATATTCATAAATTCAATGTGTATCCAAACAATATAATATAGAACAAAATCATTCAAAAAGTCAGTTTAACCAATAAAATGAGGTGAAATGGATTGAGAAAAAAAAGAGCTATTATAAGTAGTATAAAAAATATAAATTAAAAACAAAATAATAATATACTAGCCCAGCCTGAGACACTCCAAGGTCGAGCTTTTTGAATTGGAGCCTGAGACCTTTTTATTAAACGAGTTTTAGTCAACAACTAATTTTAGACATGTAAACTCATGCCTTCACGAGTCGAGTCAAAAGCCCTGATTCGTTTACCACCCTAATAGTGATAGTGCTCTCATCACTGTGTCACATTTATGATATTTAGATAGTTCACTGTCTTTGTACATTCCTTGTATCAAGTCGCAAGCAATTTATGCTCTGATCTTTAGTGTTTTGTAACCACTCTGTGTGTTAGAAAGAGCAAATATAAAATTAAAACACTTTTATTCTTTTTGACCTGACCCGATAGTGCTCTGAATATTATAAAGGCTATGTGAGAAAAGAATTATTGTTCTTTAGCTTAGATAGGTGTAGGAAATCTTAGATTTATGCGGAAGCGGTTTAGGACCTAGTACATTGGTATGCTTACCGAATCATCCTTGTTTCACAATTACCTCTCGGTGCGCAGGTCTCGTGTAGAATCTTCCCTTGTAGGATTCCTCTTCACGAACAGCTCACCTCAGCGCCGCAGCACGAACAACCTCCATGAAGCTGGACTGTGGCAGATCTTCCAAACTATCTCTCGAAGAGGAAGGGGAAGTGTGTGGGCACTGATTAGATTCTGAGCTTGCCTCTTTCTCACAAAAGAGACCCTTGGAGGCTGATGACTTAAGAGGTACTAATTATATGGGTTCCAAGAAACCCTAGCTCATTGGGCTCTAGGTTCCTTGGGCTCTTCTCATACTAATAACCCATTTGGGCTTTAGTAAAAGAGCAAACCCAACAATCTCCCACTTGCTCTTTTGGATACAAACTTGAGTCGTAAAACCCAAGATCATGTAACCCATAAGTCATCATCTATCCAAAAAATACCCCATCCCTTGTCTCAAGCTAGCTTGGGGATCTACCATCTGTTATTAATCAAGGCTCCTGATAATCAACGAATGATTATCTAATCCGGTGCTACTCCACTAAAAGCCCGAACTTGAACTCCAAGATTAACAACACTTATAACATGAATATGCATCGCCCCTTTGTAGAATGTCTATAATTGATTGACAAGTTTTCTGTAACTCAATCAATTATTTATTCCCTTGACT